TATGAACACAAGCATTCTTGTATTGTTTGACATAAGCGCATTTATCACATTCATTTATTCTAAATCCATTAGAGAGTAATGTGTTGTCAAACTTCTCATGCCATAGCTTTGGAGCCTGTTTTAGTCCATAAAGTGATCTAACTAACTTACAGACTTTGTTTTCTTGTCCTTTAACCACAAACCCTTCAGGTTGATTCATATATATCTCTTCATCTAATTCACCATACAAGAAGGCAGTTTTCACATCCATTTGGTGTATTTCCAAATTATGAATGGATGCAATAGCTACTAGTGTGCAAATGGATGTAATTCTTGTAACAGGTGAATAGGTGTCAAAGAAGTCTTGACCCTCTTTTTGACGATACCCTTTAGCTACTAAACGAGCTTTGTACTTCTCAATGGTACCATCAGGTCTAAACTTCTTCTTGAATATCCATTTGTGCCCAATTGGTTTTTGCCCAGGTGGCAAATCTACCAATTTCCAAGTGTTATTCTGCACAATGGAGTCAATCTCACTTTTGATTGCCTCTTTCCAAAAGGGAGCTTCAAAAGAATCCATAGCATCCTTATAAGTTTATGGTTCTTTATTCACTACATAGGTAATGTAATCAGGTCCAAAATCTTTGGCAATTTTGCCCCGTTTGCTTCTTCTGGGTTCTAAGTTCTCTTTTTGAACCTTAAAAGAACTCTCTTCATTTGATTGTAAACTTTTGTCTGGAATGGTATCATTTAGTCCATCATCTAGAGGTCTTTTCCTAGAGCAGGTAACCTCTTTCCCTTTATCCTTAAAAGGAAAAATATTTTCAAAGAATTCAGCCTCTGCTGATTCCATGATGGTTTGGTTATGGATATCATCAACATGTGATTTAAACACAAGAAACTATAGGCTGCACTATTAATGTCAGGGCCAAGATAGATGCAATCTATGGTTTTTGGTCCAAGTTTAGTCCTCTTAGGAAGAGGTACTTGTACCTTAGCAAGGCAACCCCATACTTTCATCCTTTTATAAGAGGGTAACCTCCCTTTCCACATATGATAGGGTGATTTATCACTCTTTTTATGAGGAATTCTATTAAGTATTGAATTTGCTGCAAGACATGCTTCTCCCCACAGATTATGTGGTGCTCCAGAAGTAATTAACATTGAATTAATCATGTTTTTCAATGTTCTATTCCTTCTTTCTGCCACTCCATTTTGTTGAGGAGTATATGGACCAGTTGTTTGATGTATAATACCATTTAAAGAACAAAATTCAGCAAAGTCTTTGGATTCATATTCTCCTCCTCGATCAGACCTTAGAATTTTGATCTTTTTGTCAAGTTGATTTTCAACTTCAGCCTTGTAATTCTTAAAATAATTCAAGGCTTCATCTTTCGTATTTAACAAATAAATATAACAATACTTGCTGCAATCATCAATAAAAGATATATAATAATTCTTTCCTCCTCTTGTAGGCGTTTCTCTAAAATCACATAAATCAGAGTGGATTAAGCCAAGTATTTCATTAGATTTTTCAACTGATTTATGAGGAAGTTGTGAAAATTTTGATTCTACACAAACCTCACATTTTATGTTTTTATCTAATGAACATTTTGGTAACATGCCAAGTTTTTCCATTCTTTGAATAGAACGAAAATTGACATGTCCCAAACGAGAATGCCACAAAATTGAAGGATCATGCATATACATAGAAGAGGGGCTAGTAGTGCCCATTATTGCATTAGCATTAACATTGGTTACATCATTGTTTGGTGTTTCAACACCATAGTACAAAGGTAAGACACTGACTTTGAAAAGACCCTCACTAAGGTATCCCTTTCCAACATACACCCCACCCTTGGTGAGAACAAACTTATCAGACTCAAATACAAGATTGAATCCCTTGTTACTAAGAATAGGACCAGAAATCAGATTCTTAGTAATTTCAGGAACATGTAATACATCACATAAAACAAGTTCTTTTTCAGAAGTCAGTTGTAGCTTCACTTTTCCCTTTCCTTCAACATTTGCAGTAGAGCCATTCCCCATAAACATTGGTTCAGAATCTGAGACTTTCTAGTATGTAGAAAACATGGTTCCGGAGTTGCAAATGTGCCTTGTGGCTCCAGTATCAATCCACCAATCCACACAATTGCTAACCATGTTGGTTTGAATCACAGCAACAAACTGATTTGGTGATTCAACCATGTTGGCTTGACCATAATTTCCTCCACCAGAATTACCACCATTTTTTCCATTGTTCCCTCCATTTTTTTCCTCTATTGTTTCCTCCTTGACCCCTCCTGAATCTGCAATCTTTGGCCTTGTGTCCAGTTTTGCCACAAACATAGCATGGACCAGAACTCTTCTTGAAATTCTTCTTGTTTGGGCCATGATTTTTTCCATCTTTGGAGGAGTTTTTGGAGCCTTGCTTCCCTTTCTTGTTGTTGTGCTTTGTCCTTGAAGTACTTGCTTCTCCAACAAAGTTTGCACTTGGTTCCAAGGAATTTGCATCTGCCTTCTCATTCAATCTGTTATCTTCTTCCACACGAATTCTCAACACAAGTTGCTCAAAACTTATGTCATCAGTTAAGTGTTTAAGATATAGTTTGAAATTCTTCCAAGAAGGAGGAAGTTTTTCAATGATTGAACAAACAAGAAAGTTAGAGTTTATACCCATACCTTCAACTTCAAGATCATGTGCAATGAATTGAATTTCCTCCACTTGTTTGAAGACAGATTTGGTATCCACCATCTTGAAATTCATGAATTTTCCAATCACGAATTTCTTGGAACATGCCACTTCTGTCTTGTATTTCTTTTCCAGTGATTCCCATATCTCTCTTGCAGTAGGAATGGTAGAGTAGATATCATAGAGAGAATCATCGAAGGCATTCAGAATATAATTTCTGCAATTATATTCATTTGTGTTCCAAGTTTCCACAGCCCTTTGGTGTTCTGCCAATTGGGCTGCAGTGGGTGGTGTCACTCCTTCTGCAGTGGTTATACCAGTGGGAGGAGAGGGATAATCATCAGTGAGAACATTGGAAACATGAAGAGTTGTCAAATAAAACAACATCTTCTGTTGCCATCTCCGAAAATCTGAGCCTTTGAATTTCTCAGGCTTTTCCACATGTGTTTTCATGATGGAATTTTGATCCATTCTTCACTCTTTAATTTCTGTCTTAGATTGTTATTACAGAAGTATACAATCAACAAAAGTAATTGAAATAAAACAAACGAAATTCAAACATATATATATATATATATATATATATATATATAATATACAAGAATCAATTTATAGAAAACATACTTGTATGATGATTACACATAAAAATATAATCACGAAATTGTGCAGATTGAGGCCTACTTTGCGGTGTCCTAAGACAAAAATTTCCCTGGAATGGGTCTGTCTTGAGGATACAACAATCCAATTCAACAATAGATCTTGAATCTGTCGAAATTCACCATGATCCCTTTGAAAAAATAAACGATTTTTAGAGAAAGTGTGTGTGTATCATTCGCCTCCAAATTTTGTATGAATTCCTTCATTTATAGGCTTCCAATGGTGGTTGTAAACCACCAACCGAAATTAACTGCCAAAAACTGTCTGCAGTTAATCCTTTATTTAACAGAATTTGTTTTGCACTGAATAAAAAAAATTAATTAATGACTAATTAAATTCGGATTATATATAAAAAAATATTATTTAGTCAAGAAGAGCCCCAAGGCCCAAGGCCCTATCTTTGACCATTAATATTTAATAATCCAAGCCTACTACTAGCCCAATTTGACTAGTCCAACACCACAACCCAAACCCAATATGCTTCACCCATTACTTGATCCATTTGATTAAATGAGTGGGACAAGACTTATAAGATGGGAAAATGTTTTCTCTTCCACCAATGTGGGATAAGTCCCACATTGTAATTTTGTAGAGAAAAGTTCCAACAATATGAATATATGATGCATAAAGTTTAATATGATGAAACTTATTATTTTATTAAAATTAGGAAGGAGAGCAAGGGCGAGTGCCTGTGCTCATTTTGAGCATGAAAGGAAGCACATGATCGAAAAGACCGGCTGTTGTTTTTCTACATCCAACAAATGCAAACAAAGAGTAGCTACGCCCTTCACTTGAGGTATAATATAAAATTACAAGGCTAGACTGGTCATTTCTTCATATGACAAAAGACTTTGATCTAACGAGTTCTTCCTTTCAATTCAGGATTAAACTTCACGTGGATATATTTCAATTGCCATTGATGCTCGTTACCATGGAGAATGTGCCAAAACCCCCACCGCCTATCAAGATGTGAGCACCGAAACCTTTCTTAATTTTTATTTGGTTTATGCCAAAAAAGAATAGGGGTAAATGCAAGAAAATAATAAATAGCAACATACTTTCATATATTTATTTATTATAGCATCCTACTTTGAAAAAAATCTATCTAATTATAGCAATGTCATTCATATAGAAACCAATTTTTCGTTGCTATAGTTGAGTAGATTTTTGAGAGTACAATGGAGAATATACTAATTATCTTTCATGATCTTAAAGCAAAAATATAACTTCAATGTCATATATTCCGGATCCAGGCTCGTGTTTCATCATGGGAAAAAGAAAAAGAGGTGATACAATGCCATTTATATATGACACGGTTATACTTCTTCTTCACTCTTGAATATTACAAATGACATTAATTAAATACTTTTAATGTTACCATTTTACTTTTCATTTTTATGTTTTAGGTGTGGGACCTTATAAAGTTGGCATATTATCTAACCACCTAAAGACCTGATATAGACCATTCCAAGATAGGAATCATTGGGAATTCGCTTGGAGGTTGAATTCTAATATTTTATTAAACACATCATCTAGAAATAACATGAGTATATATATATATATATATATATATATATATATATATATATATATATATATATATATATATATATATATATAGAGTTATTACGCCATTAATTCCATAACTCATTTATTGATACGTGATGCAGGAATGCATGCATGGTTTGCTGCTTTTGTTGATACACGTTATTCAGTGGCTGTCCCCGTAATTGCTGTTCAGGTATTGTTTCTTTTTGACTTAATGGGCTTAATTAAACACTTAACTAACCTACTAACTTAATATGAATGTGTAGGGCTTTCGGTGGGCCATAGAAAATGATCAATGGCAAGCTCGAGTTGACAGTATTAAGCCTGTGTTTGAAGGTAATTATGACACTACTTTACAAAAGAAATATAAAATCTCTATTTTTTATATGTTATTATTTCTATGTTTAATAAAACATGTAAGTTAAGTTATATATCGGTGTTTAACGACTTTGAACTGTAAATTTGTACAAATTTCCCTCATTTATTTCCTCAAATATATTTAGAAAAATTGTTTAAAAGTTCTTTTAAAATGTGTGTGTATATATATATATATATATATATATATATATATATATTTGGTTTTTAAAATCTTACAGCTATAGTTAGCACATGCACTCTTTCTAAATTATAATTTTTTTGCATGATTTTGTGATGATGCATATATTCTTTTTCTTCAGAAGCAAGGATTGATTTAGGGAAGGAAGCCATTGACAAAGAGGTTGTGGAAACCGTATGTTCCATAAAGATTGCTAAATGTGTTGCTGACGTGGCATCCGGCTGGCGTCTACTGTTGATGTTGTGCTACTATTTTGACCAGGTTTGGAACAGAATAGCTCCTGGTTTAGCACCACGCCCTTTGTTGATTATAAACGGTGAAATCACCAATCCACCCTCCTCTTCTTGATCCATTTTTTTCCGATGAAATAATAACATGGAAAAAACTATCAGGTGAAGACGATCCCCGTTGCCCAATCGAAGGTATTGATGTTGCCATATCAAAAACACAAAAGGCTTTCGAAGATGCCCAACTTTTGAATCATTTCAAGGTGTTGAGTTTTAACTCTTGACTTTTCACCAATGTTTCTTGCTTTTCCTAAATGGGCAAATTGCATGGAATAGCTATGTACTTTACTACCAGAGAATATTAGTATGTTGCTATTATGGGTATTAAATTTGTAGATTGTCTATATTGGTAAAAAAAGTAAAGTATAATTTTATATGATGTAATATTGTGTTGTATATGAGGTAATAATGTGATTTATTATGAATGAAATTTAGGTGATAGTCGAACCAGGAATTGGACATGAAGTGACCTCATCAATGCTTAAAGAAGTGAGTGATTGGCTTGACAAGTTTCTCAAACCGTAGAAATTTCACATGCATACCTATGTATCTTATGCTCGACTGAATATTATTGTATATTGAAAAAGTATATGTATATCACATAAATAAAGCTTTGGCTTTGTTATTTGTATGAAACATATGATAAAGCCTTCCAATAAACGAAACTTATTCCAAATTTGATTAATGCATTTAAAATTTTTTTTATTATAAACTTGAGGGCGAAATTTAACTATGTGTCTCAAGATTTGTGTTGTGTATTAGAAAGACATAGTTGTTGGTTATTCTGTCCGAAGTGGCAAGCATTTTAGAAACTATAGTCCTATAACTGTGTTTAATCATTTAGAAGATAAGTGTGATTCATCATTCTTCCAATTGTGGCTTTGTACATTCTTAATAACAACATAAAAAAAATACTTAATATTGTTGAAAGCCAAAAGGAGTGGCAAAAAACTAAGCATAAAGCGAAAGTTACTTGGCCTAGTGGTATAATTAATGCAAAAGTTGTTTTTAAGCAACCACCATGTAAATTAAGTACACAACGTCCCCTTAGGTTGGATAGAATGGTCACCCGATAGAAAGATGACAATTTCCATGGTTTTGGGATAAAATTAAAAGAGATATAATGTGTTGCTGATGTGTGTAGAGGGATGGAGGGATGGAAACATGGTCATTCGCTCCATGCTTAATAGTGTTCGTGTATGTATATGCAGAATAATAACATATTATTGTCACTAGTTCATTGCCAACTTTTCTTATTTTAAGATCATACTACAGGAAACATAGTGGAGAATATGATTAAGCATTTATAATTAGCTACAATAATTGGATATCACTTAAAGGGAATTAAAGAAAGAATTAGCCTGACTAGAAAGATGGGTTTTGCCAGAAAAGGCACCCCTCTTGTTTCCTTGGTCAAGGAAAAAGGTGTCTCGTAAGGCCCTTTTTTCGTTGGAGCTGAAAAGGGTGGGATGTTGATATTTGGGAAACCTGGATGCTCCATTATATAATATGAATAGATGATTCTTGATTTTAGAAATCTTAACTGTGTCTCCATTATTAGCAAGTTCCAGGGAGATCTAAAAGGTTTTGTTTCTTATTCATAGTGTACCTGTCATTTATATTTGAGTTTTAATCTTCGGCTCTAGGAGGCTTTCAGAGCACAAAGATCGTTCTCCTGTTTGTGAACTCGATACAGGGGAGCAAGTTTGATCCCTAGCCTTTATAGAATAAAGACATACAATAGTCACAGTGCACCCCGATGTAAGTTTGAAACGTTTTATAAAAACCAATTCACATTTGGAATTTTTGCAACCGCTTTGATGTAACACCCCCTTTTTTTTAATTAAAATATATTAACTGTAAAGGTCCCATTTAAATCTTGTGGTTCTTTCAAAACCAAACTTAATAACATATGTACAAATACAAAACAGTTTCAACGGTGTTACATAAATATTATCAATGAGAGTAAATAGCGGAGTCTTTATATTATCAAAGCTTATCAAAATCTTTTCCAAATAAAAACGCAAACGTTGCTACAGTGACACTGGGTTCTTCTTTATTCCTGTAACAATGTTAATAACAACGGTTAAGCGATAACGCTTAGTGAGCCTAGACATTACTCACCCATTATATTAATCATATACATATCACATAACACATAAATACATATTACGTATCACATGGCACATATATACTTTTCACATATATCACATAATTCACATAATTCATTAACACATGTTATTGGTACCATTCATGTACCATTGATACCCCAAAGGCCTTTCTCAATCACTTCCTGGTCATCTCCGAAAGGAAACCTTGAATTAATGCATGGTCATCTCCGAAGGCAACCTTTATACTAATGCTTGATCATCTCCTAAAGGCTTAGACTTTCATAACATATATATACTTGATCTCATACATAACAATTAACACATAATCATGGATAGGTAACATAATAAGTAAGTTAGTGTAACTCACCTCAAACCACAAAGTAGACTGATCACACTAGTGACGTGAAATGGATTAACTTCCACTTCTTTGAACACCTACATACCATACCGTAATTTCTACTTAGATTCTATTCCAAATAATTACTTCATAATAATTAATTATACTTCACTTTTATTTTAAGTTGATTATAGCTTTCTGTTTAAGGTCTGAGTTACCTCTCTTATACTCATTCTTTTTGTGCTATTATTACATTTTATTGTAGTTTGCCCTCTTAGCTTTCCATGGATATAAAGAGCTCACTCTAATGATTTTTGGTTGATTTTATACGCATTTTACAAGATAACATTCAAAGTTGTTAACTTCTGGACCAATCTGCAAAGATGGTAAATTTCACTCTAGGAATAGTAAAAGTCAGATCTTAGGAATATTAGCCGATTAGAATATTGTTATACATTTATGAGATTATTTTATTATTGTATATATCCTTTCCTAATTATTTGTATATGTACCTCCTATATATAGGGGATCTTTATTCAATGAAAGTACAGATACAATTTTACCATATTCACTGTTATGGTATCGGAGCTTGGACCCTAAAATTATCGCCTCCCTGCTTCAACCCAAGCTACAGCTTCATTCTTCTTCATCTGTTGAAATCCTGTGATCTACTCATCTCCATCTGCTGAAATCGATATATTCATCTGCAACCCTAAAATTTTTTAATCCATTCATCTGCTGAAATCGAAGGTTTCTTCATGGGCAAAGACGATTCTGGATCTAGTGAAGTGAAGGCCACGGCTCTGCACCCTGCATACACTGTGACGAACGTTCAGACAAAGATTCGAACTCTTGATGGTGTTAAGGTAACCTACTCTTCACGGACCAAGCTTTTTCGCCTTCATGCCAAAGTATAGAAGGTCCTGGACCACATTGATGGAACGAAAGCACCTATTGAAACTGACCCTGGGTACGACCAGTGGGTTGAGATCGATGCCCTTGTTTTACAATAGATTTACAGCACTTTATCTGATGATCTAATGGTTCGTATTCTGGAAAGTGATACCACGGCTCAAGCAGCATGGAACAAGCTCAAAGTAAACTTCCTCAACAACAAGGGTTCACGAGCAGCAGCACTTGAACAAGAATTTTCCAATCTTAATTTTGCAGCATGTTCATCAATGGAGGCTTATTGTCAGAAACTCAAGGATTTGGTTGATCAACTCGAAGATGTCGATAACCCGGTCACCGAATCAAGACTTGTTCTACAGATGGTTCGAGGTTTACCACCTGAATTTGATGTTGTAGGGGCATATATCAATCAAAGTTCTCCATCTTGGGAGACAGCTCGTAGTATGTTACAACTGGAGCAACACCAACAAAACACCCGACAAAACCAATCACATACGGCCCTTGCTGTTTCTGATGATCGATCACAGAAAAACCCTACAGGGGATGCCTAAGGTAACCGCAATCAAACCCCTCTTATCAGCCCTATTCGGATAGTAGACAACAGTTGAGCAATGGCCGAGGATGTGGTGGGTATGGTCGTGGTCGCGGACGTAACCCTCGAGGTCGAGGGGGTCGTGATCAACAACAATATTAGAACCAAGGTAACCCACAAAGCTGGAACTATTTACAACAATGGAACCCACCACCATCCCCATATGCATCACAAGGAAACAACCATCCAGGGACTCACTTGGCGAATAACTCGTTTGCACACAAACCCGTTTATGGTCACACATTGCAGCATGGGTTCCTTGGTCAACCTCCGATCCCACCTTCAACAGCCCCTATTGCAGCCCCTAACCCACTATTTGTCGGTTATTCATACTACACTCCATCAGATTTAGCTCAAACAATGCAACATGTCAACCTAAATCCTACTGATCAGAATTGGTATATAGACTCAGGTGCTTCAACACATCTTACATCAGATCCACGTAAAATATCCAGTCTCATGCCAACTTCTCCTATAACTTCTATTTTCGTTGGAAGCGGGTCTAGTCTTCCAATTCATGGGTCAGGCCACACCACTGACTATACCCACTCTCGTTCCTATTCCTTAAAAAATATTCTATTTACTCCAGCCATCATTAAAAATTTATTATATGTTCGTAAATTTACTATTGATAATCAAGCTTCTGTTGAATTTGACCCCTCTGGTTTTTCTATTAAGGATCTCAAGACTGGAGCTCTTCTTTCTCGTCATGATAGCACGGGTGATCTCTATCCTTTCACACCCTCAACTTGTTCGTCTGCCCTACTTACCACCTCTCAGGATCGTTGGCATACTCGCTTGGGTCATCCAGGGCTCCTGTTTTAGATTTGCTTCGTTCTAGTTTTTCTATTAGTTGAAATAAACCTATGCATTCTACTTTATGCAATGCTTGTCAGTTATCTAAACATACAAGATTGCCATTTTATGATTCATATTCTTTAACTTATGCGCCATTTGATATTATACATTGTGATCTTTGGACGTCTCCGGTTTTGAGAAAATCAGGTTACAAATACTACATGGTTCTTATAGATAACTTCTCTCACTATGTCTGGGTATACCCTCTCAAATTCAAATCAGACACATTTCTCAACTTTAAAAAGTTTCATAAATTCATTTAAACTCAATTTAACTGTACCATTAAAACATTCCAATGTGATCTTGGTGGTGAATTCGATAATAAAGAATTTAAATCCTTTGCCGACTCTAACGGTCTTGTGTTCCGCTTTTCCTGTCCACAGACGTCTCAATAAAACGGACGAGCCGAACGGATGATTCGTCATCTCAATGACATCATCCGCACCCTTCTTACTCATGCCTCACTTCCCCACTCCTTTTGGGTTGAAGCACTCCATACGGCTGCATATCTCCATAATATCATTCCTACCAAACGACTCAACTTCGCTACACCAGCTTTCTTTCTTTGTGTTCGCAAACCTACATACGATCATCTTCGCACCTTCGGTTGCACTTGCTATCCCAACATTTCTGCCACTCAATCTCACAAACTTCAACCTCACTCCATCAAATGCGTGTTCCTTGGTTACCCTAAAAACTTTCGCGGTTATCGGTGCTATGATCCCTCAATCAACAAAGTTCTTTTATCTCGTCACATCACCTTTGACGAGACCTCATTTCCCTTTGACGACACCAACACCTCGACATCATATGAATTCCTCGACGACCCACAACTTCACTCTTTTCCATTCTCAACATCATCATCTTCCCACGACTCCCTAAATCAACCACCTGTCACTACACCACCCTTCCAACCCCCTATCTTAACATATACTCGTCGCTCCAAGACGACACCCACTCCCATCGCTCCAACCACCACACCATCCGCCACCCCCACCACCAACATACTAACCCTATCTACCTCTACACCTAATATCAAAGACCCACCACACAATCCACCATCACCCACTCCACCCAACCCACCTCCTTCGGCTCATCCTATGACCACTCGTTCTCAGGCAGGTGTTACAAAATCTGTCTCTCATCTCAACCTCCATACTACCCCCTTATCTCCTCTCTCGCCGATTCCTACCTCTATATCCATAGCCCGGTCTGATCCTAATTGGTTACTAGCCATGGAAGACGAATTTAGAGCGTTACAGGCAAATCAAACATGGGATCTTGTCCCTCGCCCATCCAATAGTCCAGTTATTCGTTGTATGTGGCTGTTCCGCCACAAGTTTAAAGCAGACGGTTCGCTTGACAGATATAAAGCACGATTGGTTGTTAATGGGAAATCCAAAACGGTAAGGATTGATTGCCACGAGACATTTAGTCCAGTTGTGAAACCGGCTACTATCCGGACCGTTCTTAGTATCACTGTGTCCCAGGCATGGCCGATCCACCAGTTAGACGTTAAGAACGCCTTTCTTCATGGTGATCTTCATGAGACTGTTTTTATGCACCAACCTCCAGGATTTGTGGATGTTCGGTTTCCTTCTCATGTGTGCCGTCTTAGGAAATCTCTATATGGACTTAAACAGACCCCTCGTGCCTGGTATACTAGATTTGCCACTTTCATCACCTCACGTGGCTTCCGGAGCAGCATATGTGATTCTTCATTATTCATATATCAGCATGGCCGACACCGTGCCTACTTATTACTCTATGTTGATGACATTATCTTGACGGCCTCCGATTCTGTTTTTTTGCACAATATTATCACCTCTTTGTCTTGGGAGTTTGCAATGACTGATTTAGGGGCCCTTCACCATTTTCTAGGTATCACGGCCACATGTGATCAACACGGTTTGTTCTTGTCGCAAGCAGGGCCGGCCCTAAGGTTGTGTAGGGTGTGCACCCGCACAGGGCCCCGGAAAATATAGGGCCCGAATTTATCAAAATTATATACTTATAATATGTGTATATATATCTATTTCTTCAAAAACAAATCATAAGTATCACTTAGGTCAGCCGACGAAATCCCATTCCCTCTTTGCGTTGATTTTTGTTTGATCAGGGTTCGATCCCAGCTTTATTGATCTTTTTAATTAAATCAGTCTTTTAACTTTTTTATATAAATAAAAGTTACATATCAGCCCCTCAAATTTAGTAGTTAATTCCATTTAATAAATCAATTTCCATAAGTTACAAATTTGGCTTCCTAACTTTTATAATTTCACATTTAGAGTAATTTAATCAATTTTGTTTTCCGTTTTACTCGTACACTTCATCATAACCTTTAGATTTATTTTGTTTACGCCAATATACACTTATTTTTAGGGGGCCATTTTTTCATGTTAACCTTTAAATTTATAATATATATAAATTGTTTTATATAAACTTAATTTTTGGGGGCCTTTTTTTCGTGTTTGCACCGGGCCTAAGATAACTCAGGACCGGCCCTGGTCGCAAGCATCTTATACTGATGACATTCTTCAACGAGCTTCTATGGATTCTTGCAAGCCTTGCACTACCCCGGTAGACACGTCCACTAAACTCAGTGTCATGGATGGTGAACTTCTTGCTGATGGCACCTTATATAGGACTCTTGCTAGAGCTCTACAGTACTTAACATTCACTCTCCCGGATATTACATATGCTGTTCAGCAAGTCTGTTTATTCATGCATGCCCCGAGAGAGCCCCACTTTCAGTTCATGAAGAAGATTTTTTGGTATCTAAAGGGCACCATTGACTATGGTCTTTAGTTGGTTGCTTCCCCATCACACACTTTGACTGCTTACTCTAATGATGACTGGGGTTGATGCCCTGACTCTCTCGCAGATCTACCTTCGGCTATTGTGTATTCCTTGGCCACAATCTAGTCTCTTGGTCATCTAAACGACAACCTACGATCTCCCGATCTAGCGCGGAAGCAGAGTATCGAGGAGTTGCAAATGCTGTCTCAGAGACCACATGGTTATGAAATTTGTTACAAGAGTTGCATGTTCCTCTTCGCAAGGCGACGATAGTCTATTGTGATAAATATTCTGCGGTTTATCTGTCTCAAAATCCAGTTCAACATCAGCGCACAAAGCATGTGAAAATCGACATACACTTCGTGCGCGAGAAGGTCCGCCTCGGTCAAGTCCGTGTTCTTCACATTCCTTCGTCTATGCAATATGCGGACATATTTACCAAAGGCTTGCCACGTTACTTGTACCAACAATTCAGATCCAGTATGAGTGTTCGTCCTCCCCCCCGCTCAAACTGCGGGGGACTATTAGCCGATTAGAATATTGTTATACATTTAGGATATTATTTTATTATTGTATATATCCTTTCCTAATTATTTGTATATGTACCTCCTATATATGGGATCTTTATTCAATGAAAGAACGGATACAATTTTACCATATTCACTGTTAAGGAAAACTATGGAGTAAAATAGACATTCCATTCTAACCATATCTTATGTACTTCATATCAATTGGAGTCTTGTAGAATTAATTGTGCAAGTTACAAGTTAACACATGAAATTTGTGCATTTCTGGACTAGTCTGCACTCTTTGAACAAAATGTACTTTTGTGCTTGGAATTAAGTTAATGTTGAAATATTAAGCTAGACTTAGTGTTTAGTAAATGTCATTTAAAGAAAGATGGGGCAGTTACAAGTTGGTAGTTATTGCGCTAAGGGTTGCAACGGTTACACAACCATTGTGATGGTTCGAGAATATGCCAACCATTGTGATGGTTCAAGAATGGGTCGTATACTCTATATATATACATGTAATCATCTTATGTAAATTGCATTGATTGGTGATTAATAAAAGCTTTTTGTTTTTTGTATAAGAATCTCTCTTTCTATCTCCTTGTCTCAATATGTTTTCTCCAACAATTAAGCCCTTGGTATGGATGAAACTATACACCCATATGAAGTTAAAGACCTTGACCTCATATCATTTTGAGTCTTTAAGAATTTATTATGAATTTTGGATGTGGACAGAGTCCATCAGTGGGCTGCATGGACGAGTCTGCAAAGATTGGTAATTATACCCTTC